CTGTGGACCTGGGTTCTGAGCCATGTGAACAAGACATGTGAACAGAATGTCAGTAACAACAACAACAAAACACATATACATGCACACACATGTGCACATGACCCATGATTTATAGCAAAGCCTAGTTTCCTGCACACACCTTCAGAGGATAATTGCAAATCTCATGTAAATTTCTCTAATGACTAACTTCAAATTAAAATCACCATTGGGAGGGGGGTGTGCATTTGGTCTAGCAAGTATCATACCCATGTCTTCTAGCAGAGTACTTGGATTTAAGTCCCAGCTCCTCTTCTGGTTGCAGCTTTCTGATAATGCACAGCCTGGGAGGCAGCAAGTTGATGATTCAGGAAGCCAAGTCTCTGCCAGCCACACAGGCGTCCTGGGTTGCATTCCTGGCTCCCAGCTTGAGCCCTGGCCCAGCCCCAGCTACTGCAGGTGTTTCTTGAGTAAACCAAAGAATAAGGACTCTCTCCTCTAACTCTCTGTCACTTACATAAAGAAACAAAATTTTAAAAATTTAAATTAAAAGTAGTGAAACTATCATAGAGATATAAATTTGGGAACCATTATTATACCTGAATTGACTTGGAAACAATTACCACAGTCATGATCTTCACTGAACATACTATGAGAAAAAAATTGGTGATTCACCTGAACCCCAACTCTAGCCGTATCAAATAAGACATGAAGTGAGCCAGGATGCATTTAGGTCTTTAGAAGTGATGGGTCAGAAAAGCTCAGTGAACTATCTTCTGGTCTATCTACCAAGTGACGCCACCTGGCATTCTCACACATGATGAGTAGCACTAGCATAGCAGCACTTGTGTTACCATTTTTGGTAAAATGCTAGACTGGATGGATCATAGCTTTGAGTCAGTAGTAACTCTGATGGGACTCCATAAATAAAATAGGTCAGGATTGCTTAATTCTATATCCTGTCTAATTCTGCTATAGCCTTTTATGTCTACCCTTAAAGTAATATTTTTGTGTGATCTGCTTGCTTTCTTGTTGTCTCATTTCAGTATCTTAGAAGGATGCAATATGAAATTGATGTAGTTATTGGGTTTTTCTCCTCTGTGAACTATAAGTCATTTTGATACATTATAGATCTCATCTTCTTTCAAGAAAAAGTGTTCACCAAATAATATAGCACCATTTTTCTTTGATAAAAAGAAAAAAATACTGCCTTTCATCTACGAGAGAATTTTCTGTCAGGAGTCTTAATGACAAGATTGGCATTATTAACATTTTTTCTAAGATGACATTCATATGAGATGATTTCATCAATGAACAGATGTAATCATTCCTATCAGAGAAATTTACACAGTAGGTAAAGAGAAGTCAAAATGTAGGTTAATGGCATGGAAGAGGGCAATTGTTACAGCTTAAGATCGACCCTGTGCCAGCAAGAGAAGCACAACCAGCATCACTAAGTGACTCAGTGCTGCCTCTCTGGCCCCAGGGCCGACAAGAGAACTCTCTGTTCCAGAGCTCAGCTCACTGATGACGATGGGATGTTGCCAACCCTACTCCCAGAGTAACTGAAGTTGGGTGGTGGCACCTCATCACTAGAAGGATGGTGGTTTACATATGGAGGTTTCTTGGACGTTATTTTTTCCTTCACATTACACAAAAAAGGATGGGGCTGGCGCTGTGGCGTGGCAGGTAAGGCTGCTGCCTGCAGTGCTGGCATCCCATATGTGTGCGGTTCGAGTCCCGGCTGCTCCACTTCTGATCCAGCTCTCTGCTATGACCTAGGAAAGCAGTAGAAGATGGCTCAGGTCCTTGGGCCCCTTCACTCATGTGGGAGACCTTGGAGAAGCACCTGGCTCCTAGCTTTGGATTGGCGCAGCTCTGGCTGTTGAGGCCATCTGAGGAGAACCAATGGAAGGAAGACCTCTCTCTCCCTCCCCCCCCCCTCTTCCTTAGCCTCTCTGTAACTCTGCCTTTCAAATAAAATAAACCTCTTTTTTAAAAAAAAGGATAAAAGAGGCTGAGGGCATCATTTCCAAATAAATGTTATTATAATAGAAAACTTGTAAAGAGAAAAATTCATATCAACATTTTCCCTAGGCTAATTCCAATTCCAATACTAAATTATCAATGAACCAAGGAAAGAGAAATGATGAAAGTTTCAAATCATGCAGAGAGACAGGAAAGAATGCAAAAACAATGTGTGTCTATGTTAGTCAAATTAAATTGCAGCCTCAAATTTTTATTTAAGAAGGAAATACCTCAAGGTATTGAATGACAAGTTCCACCTGACACATTAAGATGGAGTAAATGCCTCCAACCAAAGTAAGCTGCCACATCCACACAGATTTTTTTTTAAAGATTTGTTTTATTTATTTGAAAGACAGAGTTACAGAAAAAGGTAGAGACAGAGAGAGGTCTTCCATCCACTGGTTTACTCTCCAGGTGGCCACAACGGCCGGAGCTGCGCTGATCCAAAGCCAGGAGCTTCCTCCGGGTCTCCTACGTGGGTGCAGGGGCCCAAGGACTTGGACCATCTTCTACTGTTTTTCCAGGCCATAGCAGAGAGCTGGATCGGAAGTGGAGCAGCCAGGACTAGAACCAAGTGCCTATATGGGATGGCAGTGCTTCAGGCCAGGGTTTTAACCTGCTGCGCCACAGCGCCAGCCCCCCCCCCCCCCAGATTTCTATAGGAAATAATCACAAAATTCATGGACCCTTCAGGTCTTGCATTCCTAGTGAGGAGGAGGAGGGAGTAATTTACCCGTTTCCTCATGTTCTTTGATTGGTCAGGGATCTGCAACAAGCCTATAGGAGAGCTTGCTCTCTTCACTTACTGTGGGGAGGAATAATGACTGTAGTCTCTCTCCTGTGCAGAGAAATTGTCCTACCAACTATGGTCGGTGGGAAAGGGGGACGGGTTTTACAGCTTTGAGGTTGGCCTGAACTCCATCTGTGCCCAGGTAAAGTCTACATGAGGATTTCTCATGACCTGGAGGTAGATCAAGTATGAGACAGAGCTAACTTGGGGTTCAATCCAATGAAGTTACTGAAAGAGATCAAGGGTCCAGCCACAAGGATCTAGGCAGATCCCAGATGGTTTTCTAGGGGTATTAAGAGAAGCGAGATCTGTCAAGAGAACCAGAGGTGAGAGGCCCAAGTGATGGGATTCTTCCAAGTACGCACAAAAGTACCCATGAGGGAGTGCTTAACCCCAGGATTCGGACAATCAGGAAGGAACTCAAACATAGCCCACCAAAAAAAAAGTTCAAGTAATTTTCTTATTACCCTTCTCTTTCTGTCTTCCATACTTCAGGTCCAGAATGTTCTGAAGCTAAGTTCGATGAGCCAGCTCCTAAAATCAGCAGTAGCTGTGGGAGGGGAAAAGAAGTAACTTTAAATTAAATTCAAAGTTCTGATTACTATACTATACAGGAACCAACATGGTAATTTTTGAATCTAGACAGAATTTGAGGCCTTAAAATGTCTTCAGGACTGCTCAATCTAAAGATGGGCAGAAAATCCTGGAACTCAAATGAGAAAAGCTCCCACCACTGAAAATAATTAAGGAGATAACGGAAGACATTTATTTAAGCTAGAATTTATTCATAGGGCTGTTCAACGTAAAACTAACGTGAGGATCACCCACACATAAACCTTCTGACACTACTCTAACAGGGCCCTTCAGAGTGAACAGCTTGCTCGCTGGATGGAGACTCATCCTCTGTTTTGCTCAATCACTGCCATGTACTTTTGAGTCATTAGAAGTTGTCTCAGCATTCTGTTAGGTCAGGGGTAGGGAGGTGTGGCTGATGCTCAGGTATGATTGGAAAACTTTGTAGGACTTTAATGAATTCTATTGCATTCTGAAGTTTGAGTCCAATTTTTTTTTTTTTTTACTAAGAACTGAGTATGTGGAACAAATTAGGAATCCCAATTGTCATATAAATGAGTGAACTGTAAATGTCTAGGAAGAAAGGCAATAATATAAAGCCACTTATTTTTTCTTCACATATTTTTTCTTCACGTGGCCTGAAGCTCTAACTTTGTCAATGCTTCATTTTACTTTAGTTTGGGGGCCTCTCAGGGCTCATGTATTATGGGGTTGGTTCCCAAAGTCTTATGTTAACGGTTAATGAATTAAAGGTTAACACCTACTTGGCTGTGATGTTTGAAGGCGCGGATTTGGGGAAGTGGCTAAATTGCATGCATGATGTTGCTCAGGTTAAGCCTCATGTAACGACAGTGGCTTTATAAAGAGAGCATTATAGCATTAGAGAGCGCTGTCTGGAGGACGAGCATGCTTCCTGGCGGGCCATGTGAGGCCGGCCCCTCCAGTTATGGTCTACGTTCACCACCTAATTTAGGGCTGTGAACCTCCAGAACCACGGGCCACAACACACCTCCTTCCTTCACAGGCAGTTTTTCTCAGGAATTTTAGGAACAGTGACAAAAAGCCTGCTAACACAAGTGTCTGGAGCTCCACCTGGGCCTCCCACGTGGGCCATCTGCGCAGCTTTCCCAGGTGCATTGGCAGACAGCTGGGAGAGAAGCCATGCTGGCCTCCTTCCTGCTGTGCCACAGGCGGCCTGGTCCTTATCTTGAGTGACACTTTCGCGCCGTAAGTGTTAAGTCCACTGTCCCCTGGAAGCCTTGGCTGGGAACTTTTCAGGTCATTTTTTTTTTTTCCTAGCTGGGGTTCTCTGGCTTTTAGGCATTCGGTTTCATAGACGGCGGAGGCGTTTTCAGAGTGCATGGTTTCCTTAATTAGCACAGAACGTCTTTTAAGTCTCGGTCCCCACCAGGGGTCTACTCAAAGTTTTAATTCCTGGGGCACCCTATTGTCCCCTGCCACAGTGCCTGAATTCATCCCAGTGTTTGATTTTGCTTTACATCCATAGAAACACGGCTCCGGCTTCACAGACGGCAGCGAAGGGCAGACGGCGCATGCGTCCCCCCACCCCACCCCGCGCCGTGAGCTCACCACACAACGCATGCGCGAGGCCCTTGGCCCGAGCGGAGGGCAAATCGCCTCGGCGGCCGTCAGTGACGTACAAAGGCGGCGCCGCACTTCGGTTCGTGCTGCTGAGGCGGGAGTGTACCCTAGTCGGCCGCAATCATGGTGCATTGTAGCTGCTTGTTGTTCCGAAAGGTCCGTACCCGCTGTCTCTCAGCCCAGTGCCTGTAGCCGCAAGTCGGGCGCTGGCTCCCTGTCGCACCCCGCCCCGTTTCCGTTCCGGAGGCCTCCTTGTTGCTTGGTTTCGTCAGAGTCCTCTCCGGTCTTCAGTTCTAGGGCTTTGCCGATCAGGGGTGGGGAGTTCCCAGTCTTGGGGAGCGTTGTGTGCACCTGCGATGCGGAGGTGGGGTACCTGCTTAATGTGCTGTACGGTTGGTTGGCTTTTTGGTTTAGATCGTATCTCGTTTGCCCCCCTTTAATATCTGTATCCCTCTGCTAGAAATTTTCCTCCAGTGCAGGTTTTTAACTATCAGGAAATGAGAATACGTAACTGACGTGGTTTCTTGCAGAAAAATTTGGGTCCCTCTTTGTGCAGTGCCGGCTGTGGAATCATGCGTGTAAAAATCTGCAGCTGCTGGCCGGCGTCGCGGCTCTGTAGGCTAATCCTCCGCCTGCGGCACTGGCACACCAGGTTCTAGTCCCGGTCGGGGCGCCGGATTCTGTCCCGGTTGCCCCTCTTCCAGGCCAGCTCTCTGCTGTGGCCAGGGAGTGTAGTGGAGGATGGCCCAAGTGCTTGGGCCCTGCACCCCATGGGAGAGCAGGAGAAGCACCTGGCTCCTGCCATCGGATCAGCGCAGTGCGCCGGCCGTGGCGGCCATTGGAGGGTGAACCAACAGTAAAGGAAGACCTTTCTCTCTGTCTGTCTCTCTCACTGTCCAAAAAAAATCTACAGCTGCTTCCAATTTAAAATTGAAAAACGCAAATGATAAGGGCCGCACCAGTAATGCTTTAGAAAGCCTGCCTACGTCATTTTGCCATTACCTTATGATCAGAGTGAGATGTTTCTTTTAAGTGAGGCACCTAAACCTTTGATTCTGACGAATCTAGAACAATTAGAAAGTGTCGCAAATTGAAGGGAACTTTAAAAACTCCTCAAGAATGTAACAGAACAGTGTCTGAGGTTTTTTGAAAACATTCCCAGATGTTTTTGATACTTATGACTGCCCTAGATGGCTGAAGATGTGAGGATTGTAAATTTGAGAAATTACTCTGTAAGGTACTTTGATAGCCTGAGAGGTTAATACACACGATCTTTGTCTATGCTAAGTTCCTGATCTAGTGAAAGAAACAGGTAAACACGAAAGGCAGTTCAAGATTTGCAATGTGCAGTGATATATAGAGTTGGTCCTTTGTGTCCACAGGTTCAACCTCTGTGGATTCCACTAGGGATCCACAATATTTCTTTAAAAAACTGCATCTGTATTGAACAGATAACATACTTTTTTCCTTGTTGTTTTCCCTCTGCAGAGCAACAGCTATTTACACAGCATTGGTATTATCTTAGGTTATCATGAATAATCTAGAGATGATGTAAGGTATTTGGAAAGATATGAGTAGCATGTATGCAAATACTGTGTCATTTTATATAAAGGATTTCTGGGTTTGTGGATTTTGTTATGGGGGGGCAGGTTCCTGGACCCAGTCCCCTGTAGATCCTGAGGGATGAGTGTAATAAATTGCTGAGAGACCCAACTCAGGGTAAGAGTTGATTAGAGGAATTAAGAAATATGGTTCGGCTGGCGCCATGGCTCACTAGGCTAATCCTCCGCCTGCGGTGCCGGCACCCTGGGTTCTAGTCCCGGTTGGGGCACTGGATTCTGTCCCAGTTGCTCCTCTTCCAGTCCAACTCTTTGCTGTGGCCCGGGAAGGCAGTGGAGGATGGCCCAGGTGCTTGGGCCCTGCACCCGGATGGAAGACCAGGAAGAAGCACCTGGTTCCTGGCTTCGGATCAGCGCAGCACGCCGGCCATGGCTGCCATCTGGGGGTGAACCAATGGAAGGAAGATCTTTATCTCTGTCTCTCTCTCTCATTGTCTAACTCTGCCTGTCAAGAAAGAAAGAAAGAAAGAAATATGGTTCTCTAGTGTTTTGTCAAATAATGAAGCCATTTTGAATCATTTTGGTTCCATTATTTGAGAGAATGTAGAAACTATGGCATTCAGGTTTTTTATTTTTTTTCTTAAGACTCAGTTATTTTGAAAAAGTTAGAGAGGGAGAGAGAGAGATCTTCCATCTGCTGGTTCACTCCCCAGATGGTTGCAATGGCCAGCGCTGGGCCGGGCTGAGGCCAGGAGCCAAGAGCATCTTCCATGTCTCTCATGTGGGTGGCAGGGACCCAGATACTAGAGCCATCATGTGCTGCTTTCCCAGGCCATTAGCAGGGAGGTGGATCAGAAGTGGACCCAGACACAAACCGGCACCGATATGGGATGCTGGTGTGGCAGGTGGTGGCTTTACCTGCTGTGCCACAATGCCGGCCCCTCACACGGGTTTATGCTAGAAAAGAGAGGGTGACATTCTAAGTAGAGAATAGGTGTGAGCAGGGTGTCATGGGAACTGGGTAGTACTTCATCTAGAGTAGAGCAAAAAGGTAGGGAGATAAGAGTTGAACAAATGAAAATGATGCTGAAGGGTTATGGTGTTTCATAATAGTATTAAAAGATATATTTTATTTTAAAGGCAGAGTTACAGGGAAAGGGAAAGACAGAGACAGAAAGAGATCTTTGTTCTGTGATTCTCTCCTCAAATGGCTGCAGTGGCCAGGGCTGGGCCAGGCCGAAGCCAGGAACTTCATCCTGGTCTCCCACATTGGTGACAGGGGACCAAGTATTTGGGCCTTCTTCTTCTGCTTTCCCAGGAGTATCATTAGGGAGCTGGATCAGAAGTGTAGTGACTGGGACTTGAACCGGTGCCCATATGTGATGCCAGCATCCCAGGTGGCAACTTAACCCACTAGGCCACAATGCTGGCCCCTTGATATTAAGAATTTTAGACTTTATTTTATAAGCACAAATAATCATGGATAATTTTTGAATAGAGGAGAAACATTATTAGGGACCAAACCTGGTTCAGAAAAATAACTTGGCAGCAAAATGAAGGATGCATTCAGGAAGAAATGAGTAGACATTGAGAGATCACGTAGGAGCTAACATACTGACCTAAGTAAGCCATTGGTACTGAATCAAAGAGTACAGGACTTCAAGAAAGATGCAGGTGTAGTCTAAAAGATTTCCACTTTGTGCACTCTCAATGAATTGATAAAGTATGGATTTACTGGAGGAACACATTTTGCCTGGGAAAGGTTTTATGTTAACATTTTCTTTTTCAAGTGACTTATCTTTTTGACTGATAGCCATGAACAAGTTACATATTGGGTTTCAAATATAAATTAAATACAGATCCTGTTCTCAGTTGCTTTAAACTGCTGAACGCTTAGTTCCTGGTGGAGATATCCAATGAATTGGACATTGAAACTGTCTCACCTGGGTAATAGTTACAGCCTCAGGCCACCCAGGGGAGAGGGTTTAGAATGAAGAGGAGACCAAGGCAGACATCCTGAGGATAGATGAGACAATAATTGAGAAAAAGTCTTTTTTATTTTGACAGGCAGAGTTAGACAGTGAGAGAGAGAGAGAAAGGTCTTCCTTCCATTGGTTCACCCCCAAATGGCCGCCATGGCCAGAGCTGCACCGATCCGAAGCCAGGAGGCAGGTGCTTCTCCTGGTCTCCCATGCGGGTGCAGGGCCCAAGCACCTGGGCCATCTTCCACTGCCTTCCCAGGCCACAGCAGAGAGTTGGACTGGAAGAAGAGCAACCGAGACAGAATCTGGTTCCCCAACCGGGACTAGAACCCAAGGTACCGGTGCCTCAGGCAGAAAATTAGCCTAGTGAGCTGCTGTGCCGGCCGATAAAAAGTCTTAGCAGAGATAATCACATGGGAGAGAGGTCAGCCTGAAGGTGAACCAAGAAGGAAAAGCTTATAGAAGTGGCATACTGAGGGACAGACAAGTTGTGGCATAGTAGGTTAAGCTGCCATCTGCAATGCCAGCATCCATCTGAGTGCCAGCTTGAGTCCCAGCTGCTCCACTTCTGATACAGCTTCCTGCTAAAGTGTCTGGGAAAGCAGTGGAAGAAGGCTCAAGTACTGGGCCCCTGCCACCCTGTGGGAAACCTGATGGCGTTCTAGACTCGTGGCTTTGACCTGGCCCAGCCCAGGCCTTGGGGCTGCGTGAGGAGTGAGCCAGCATATGGAAGGTCTGTCTCTTTCTCTGTTTAACTCTGCCTTTATATAAATGGAGTACATCTTTAAAAAAAGAAGAAGAACTGGCATACTGAAAGGCTCCCTCTCTCCCATCCCCTTAAAGAACTTTTAGTGGAACAAAAAGCAAAGAGCTAGGAGTTCTGAATTGGTAGGCGCATAAGCGCCTTTGGTATACAGACCTCTCTTTCTTTTTGAAGTTTGGAAATTTCGTTGATAACCTCAGACTCTTCGCCAAGGGAGGAAGTGGAGGAATGGGCTACCCTCGCCTGGGTGGAGAAGGTGGCAAAGGGGGTGACGTCTGGGTTGTGGCCCACACAAAAATGACCTTGAAACAGCTGAGAGACAAATATCCTCAGAAGCGGTTTGTGGCTGGAGCAGGAGCAAATAGTCGGTAAGTACTTGCTGAATGACTGTGGTTTTATTTCCTGTGTTTGTAATGGAGCGAACGTCTAAAATGTCTCAGCTCGTAGAAAATGGGCTCTACAGAATATCTGGGGCTTTTTCATCCATTTCTTCTAATTGTCTGTATTCTTTTTTGTACTTCTGCTTGTAGAAACAAAAATTCTCTGAATCCCCACTCTTTTCTTCTCAGTTATTTTTTACAGCCTTTAGGAAATCTTTCTCATAGCCCAACTGTGCTACTCCACCCCACCACCAACCCAGTCAATCCCTTGTCGGTCTTCCACCCGGATATTAGCACTGTTAACCTCCCCTTGACTTTTCTAAGTCTCTTACATAGAAAATCTGGGGATACAAAAGTGACAGCCCAATACTTCACAACCTCCTCTCTTCATGTAACATTTACTTCCATGTCAGAAAGTTATTCAGAATGGCTGTGCAATATATTAATAATTTACTTTGTCATTTGCCTACTTAGGTTATTGTTGACTTTTTTCTTTATTTTTACAATAAAAGTGTAATTCAATGTCCTTTTGTGACACTGTTTTCCATGGTTGATAATTTTTATGTGTAATAAATTCCCTGAAGTAGAATCACTAAGTTAGAATTTGTACCCATTTTTTTTTCCTAAGCAGCTTGAGAGTAGCCAAATTGTCCTGCTGTAATTTGAGTACTCTATTTGAGGTCAAGTTTTTAAACGCTTCCTCAGCCAGCGGGTTTTCTGTTTGTTTTTTAAGCCTGTTTGTATTGTAGCAACCATCTCTTCATTTCAGGCGTGTAAAGTCTTTAGTTCATTATGGGCTAAAATGACTTTTGGTAGTTACCATGGTAACAAATTATTGATACCATTTTTATAGGATACTGTAGTCTAAAATCCAAAAAAAAAATAATTAGGCATAATTTTAGTTTTCCTTTAATATTTGTTTAACATTTGTGTTAGAAGAGCTGATTGCTGCTTTTACTTGTAAACTTTTAAATTTGCTTAAAGCATAAGGCCACTTAATATAGTAGGTTTTCCTTATTTTAATTTAGCTTTTTTTTTTGTAGGGTTAGTGCACTGAAAGGCTCCAAAGGAAAAGACTGTGAAATCCCTGCACCTGTTGGTATTTCAGTAAAAGATGAAAATGGTAAAATTATAGGTAAGTGTACTATAGCTTCTCAGGTTGTGAAAAATGTGCACTTTTTAAAAACGTTTATTTATTTCAAAGGCAGAGTGACAGAAATAGAGGGAAATAGAGGGAGATCTTTCATCTCTTTCATTCCCAAAGTCTGCAATAGCCAGGGCTGGGCCAGGCTAAAGCCAGGAACTGGGAGTTCTGTCTGTGTTTCACTTCTCTGTGACAGGAATCCCAATACCTGAGCCATCATCTGCTGCTGCTCCCAGGGTGTACGCTAGAAAGCAGCTAGATTGGAAGTGGAGGGACTTGATTCCAGGCACCCGATACCAGATGTAGGCGTCCCAAGCAGTGGCTTAACCCACTGTGTTCGCCCAAGAATGTGCATATTTTCTAAAATTATAAGGCAGCTTTTGGAAATAGCTTCTCTAGAGTTTTAGAATTTTGAACCTTTTTTTTTTTTTTTTAATTTTATTCATTTGAGAGCCAGAGGGGCAGGGCAGGTAGACAGAGAAACAGAGAGCTCCCATCCACCCATCAATACACTCCCCAGATGCCCACAATGGCCAGCCAGGGTAAAAGCTATGAGCTAGGAACTTTATCCAGGTCTCCCACGTGGGTAGCAGGAACTCAGTCACTTGAGCCATCACCACTGCCTTGTCCATATTGGTGGGAACCTAGAATCAAAGCCAGATCCAGGAATTAACCCCAGGCATTCCCACATCTTGTGTCCTAACTGGCATCTTTTTTTTTTTTTTTAAAGATTTATTTATTTATTTGAAAGAGTTAGACAAAAGGAGAGGCAGAGAGAGAGAGAGGGTGACTGTTGATGTACAATGTAATACTTTATCCCTTTTAGTATTTTTTTTTGGTTCTAGTACTATTGGTTGAACTCTGTAATTAACACACATTTATTCTTAGGTGTTTAAATTTTAACAGAAAAGTGATCCCTGTTAAATATAACAATGGGAATAAGAGAGGGAGGAGATGTACAATTTGGGACATGCTCAATCAGACTTGCCCCAAATGGTGGAGTTAGAAATGTGCCAGGGGATTCCAATACAATCCCATCAAGGTGGCATGTACCAATGCCATCTCACTAGTTCAAGTGATCAACTTCAGTTCACAGTTGATCACACTGATAGGTCTAAGAGTCAAAGGGATCACACAAACAAGACTAGTGTCTGCTAATACTAACTGATAGAATCAGAAAGGGAGGGAACGATCCAACATGGGAAGTGGGATACACAGCAGACTCATAGAATGGCAGATGTCCTAAATAGCACTCTGGTCTCAGAATCAGCCCTTAAGGCATTTGGATCTGGCTGAAGAGCTCATGAGAGTATTTTAGGCATGGAAAGCCAAGACACTCTGGGAAAAAACAAAAAACAAAAACCTAAATGAAAGATCTCTGCGAGTGAGATCCCAGTGGAAAGAACGGGGCCATCAAAGAAGGAGGTACCTTTCTCTGAAGGGAGGAGAGAACTTCCACTTTGACTATGACCCTGTCAGAATAAGATCTAAGTTGGCGAACTCAAAAGGCTTCCATAGCCTTGTCAACTCATGACTAGAGCCTAGGGAGATTACTGACGCCATAAACAAGAGTGTCAAATTGTTAAGTCAACAACAGGAGTCACTGTGTACTTACTCCTCATGTGGGATCTGTCCTTAATGTGTTGTCCAATGTGAAGTAATGCTATAACTAGTACTGAAACAGTATTTTACACTTTGTGTTTCTGTGTGGGTGCAAACTGATGAAATCTTTACTTAATATATACTAAATCGATCTTCTATATATAAAGATAATTCAAAATCTTGATGTGAATGGAATGGGAGAGGGAGCGGGAGATGGGAGGAGTGTGAGTGGGAGGGAAATTATGGGGTTCGGGAAGCCATTGTAATCCATAAACTGTACTTTGGAAATTTATATTCACTAAATAAAAGTTAAAAAAAAAAAAAAGGCAGCCCCAGAAGAGGATCAGGGAAGAGATGAGAACCGGAGTCCTGGCTGTCTTGCTAAAGACAACCAGGCAATATGAAAGAACCAGTGTAGAGGGGGTCAGAGAAGTCCCTGCTTTTCTCCTGACCTGTCCCAAGATCATTCAGCTTGCATGGATCTGCATAAACTGCTACCACATTTGCCATTGATTCCATTGGGCATTGTGATTATAATGGTATGTATGATATTTAACATTGACTGTTCTGTAATTTGTAAGTATATTCAGGGACATTAATTACAATGACAATACCATGTGCCCATCGCCACCATGTGCACTAACAGTTTCCATTATGCCCAACACAAACGCTGAATTACAACACAGACTTCTCTCTCCTTCCATCCCAGGGTAGTCTCTCTTCCTCTTCCTTTGAATTTGTCTGTTGTAGATACTGATTTTGAAGGAAATGCTCACTGACTTTCTGTGCCTGCCATATTTCAGTAAGCATATTTTACTGTATCCATTCATGTTGTATTCTGAATAAAAATGCAATTCATAAATAAAAATAATGTGATATTTATGATTCCATTTAATTAATCTTTGCTATATTTCTCTTTTTAAGGAGAACTCAATAAGGAGGAGGACAGAATTTTGGTAGCTGAAGGAGGTCTTGGTGGTAAATTACTTACAAATTTCTTACCGTTGAAAGGCCAAAAACGAATAATTCACCTTGATCTAAAACTTACAGCTGATGTAGGCCTTGTAGGGTAAGTATTATTTTTATATTTATTATACTTTTGTAGAAACAGTCTTTGAATAGGAACTAAGTGTAAATTATAATTTTGGCCAGAATTATTTCTAGTTTATGGGATTTGTGCATTGTGTATGTATTTTGGGAATATGCTGCCAAATATAGTTATTTTCCAATAAGTCAACGCAGACTTTCATATTATTGTTAATTTGTAAAAGGAAGATCCTAGATGGGGGACTGGTGTTGAGGCATAGCAGGTAAAGCTGCCGTTTGTTATGCTGGCATCCCGTATGGCACCAGTTAAGTCCTGGCTGCTCCACTTCCTATCCAGCTCCCTGCTAATGCCTGGGAAAAGTAGCAGAAGATGGCCCAAATGCTTGGGCCCCTGATACCCTCCTGGGAGACCTGGAAGAAGCTGCTGACTTTGGCCTGGCTCAGGGCTGGCAGTTGTAACCATCTGGAGAATGAACCAGAGGATCTGTCTTTCTCTCTAACTCTGACTGTCAAATAAATAAGAATTTTTTTAAAAAAGGAAAATCATATAAATTGAGTAGTTCAGTGAGAATGTTAGAGAATAAAAAAAGAAAAGTAAATCAAATGAAATATAAGAAAGTTAAAGAATGCTATCAGATACTAAGGAATAAGATTCAAAATCCTAACAAACCATATTTTAAAATATATACAGAAGAGAATAAAAAAAGGAAAAAAATAAAGAGTGATCCAAGACATTGAGGTATCATTAATCAAATGGTTGAAGACAAGTGCAAATGATTTCAGTCCTCAGACCTATGCACTAGTCAGCAGCATATGGGATGTAGCTAGTTCTGTTTCTTGCTTCCCTATAGTTTTTGTTTGTGTTTCTGGTTTTTTTTTTTTTTTTTTTTTTTTTTTTTTTTTTTGCTAAGCTCTTTTCATTTTCTTCTGCATCTCACTGCTTTGGCAGACTTATCAAAGTCTAAGTCCTTCCCCTCTATCCTAGCCTGAGCAGCTATTGAGTCTTATCGCCATTGGCTTACTGTTTACAGAGGCCCATTCCTGCTCAAATTACAACAGCAAAGATGTGATCCTGGCTTGCCATTCACATTTAATTTTTTCAGTAAAACAAAGTTGTAGGAGTTATGAGACCTGAATTCTGTAATCCTCTATTCTTCAGGGATATTATGAGAATAACAGGATTTTCTGGTCTAAACTGGGAGTCCAGCCATCCACAGTCTCATTTGGTAGAAAAAAACCGTTTCAAGTTCCAAAGCTTAGCCAGGCTGAGTAGTAAAGGTGGGCTGGGCCGTGCAACTCAGAGTGGACTATTTGGGTTAGAATCGTAAATCCTTCAGCACTTGCCTGGCTGGTAATAGATGAGTTACGCAGCCTCTCTACAACTTTGCTTTCTCATCTGTGATAGTGGTTAGAGAGCTCACCTTAAAGTGTTGGTAGATAAGATAATGCATTTACCGTTGGACACATGCTTTGCACTTAGGAATGCTCAGTGATGTGTAGCTGATATAATCATTGTGTTGCCAACTTATTGGTGACTACATATAGTAAATACTAGATTTTTCAGAAGTGGGTTTAAAAATGTAGTTAAAGCATAAAAATGAAAAAAAATTTTTTTTCAATTATTTATTTGAGAGGCAGAGGGAGAGAGAGAAACACAGCTGTCATCTGCTGGTTCACTCCCCAAATGCCCACAACAGATAGGGCTGGGCCAAGCCAAAGCTGGGAGCTGGGGACTCAGTCTGGGTCTCCTGTGGGTGGCAGGGGCTCAGGCACTTGAGCTGTCACCTGCTCCCTCCCAGCATGCACATTTACTTGAATTTTTCTGTGCTAATCATTATTATGAAAATATGAAGGTACTGGCGAATAAGCAAGTTCAGATAGTGATAGTCATGGATAAAAATAGTTGCAATTTGCTTTTCAAAAAATTATAAGAGCTCAGGAGAAACAGGATATGAGAAAATAATGTATGTTACAGGGAAAACAAGTCTTTTTAAGAAATCTTGCATCATTTTATCCTAAATTTACTATAGGATTTAAAAAATATATTTATTTATTTGAAAGGCAGAGTTAGAGAGAGGCAGAGAGAGAGAGAGAGATCTTCCATCTGCTGGTTCAATCCCCAAATGGCTGCAATGACCAGAGTTGGACCAATCTGAAGCTTCTTCAGGGTCTCCCAGGAGGGTGCAGGGGCCCAAGGACTTGGACCATTTTCCACTGCTTTCCCAGGTGCATTAGCAGGGAGCTGGATTGGAAGTGGAGCAGCTAGGACTTGAGCTGGCCCCAATATAGGAATGTTTTTATGAGAGAGTTATTAAAAGCTTCATTGTAAAGCTTAAACATTTTACAGAATTCCAAGTTAATATTTACAAAATACTACATTGTCCATATAAAATTTCGGCAGAATTTTTTAAAGAAACTCCTCAAATTTGAAAATTCTGAAGATAGGGATCACGTATGTCACATTACTGTATTTCTGATGTTCATATGCTGCCTGATACAGAGTCTTTACTCCATGACTATTTATTGGATAAGTGTAATGAAAATGTATAATGAGATGTACGAAAGAATCTTTCAAGTGACTATCATTCCTAGTACTTTTTTTCTGTATGGTATGCGTTATACGGTAAAATCAAAAAGACTTTGATATGAGCATATATTTTTAATCTAGTATTTCTTCATCTTGAAATTTATCCCAAGACAGACTAAAGATATGTATTCAAGGATAATCACTGCATTGTTTAAAGTTCAGAAAAGAGTTAGACAAATAACATGCATTTATTTGTAGAACAAAACAAAGTTATTTATTAACCCTCTGCACTTGGAAATGACTATTAACAGTGTATTATCTTATATATTGCAATGGTATTTATAATAGTGAAAAATTGGAGACAATCTAAATGTCTATCAGGAAATTAGGTAAATTACACTGTATCCTTGAAAGGTGTTCACCTTACATTATTCAATTAAAAGCATGCCAACCAACTATAAAGTAGTCTTAAAAAAATCAAGTCCTTGTAAATATGAATTTGTAGAAAATCCGGGGCAATGGAGCATATTAAATGAGGCTGTGTAGGTGCCAGTAGAAAAATCCAGACTATGTGAAAAAGAAACTCTATGAGACAAACGACCCAGTTCTGTAAAAATAAATTTTACGGGCTGGTACTGTGGCATAGCGAATAAAGCTGCCGTCTGCAGTGCGAGCATCCATATGGGCACTGGTTCAAGTCCCAGCTGCTCCACTTCTGATCCAGCACCCTGCTATGGCCTGGGAAAGCAGTAGAAGATGGCCCAAGTCCTGTGGCCACTGCACCCTAATGGGAGACCCAGAGGAAGCTCCTGGCTCCTGATTTCGGATCGGAGCAGTTCCAGCGGTTGTGGCCAACTCGGGATGGAAGACACCCCCCCACCACCACCGCCGCCTCTCCTTCTCTCTCTGTGTAACTCTGACTTTCAAATAAATAAATAACTCTTAAAAAATAAATTGCAAAAGGAAAAAAAGATGGAGATGTTGCTTACATCAAAAGTGTAAAAGATATATCTACCATTTATAATGCACAGACCTTATTTGGTCTCTGTTCAAGCAAACCAAATTATTAAAAATGTATTGACAATGCATTAATATTTGCTGAAGCCAGATAATAGCTCAGTGGGATTTATTACTCTTTTCTACTTTTATTTATATTTAAAAATGTTCACAACATCTTAAAAAAATGCAGTTGACATAATAATATGAGTAATATTTTGCCAGTGTTTGGTTAGAGATAGTAGATTGCAGGTATTGTCTATTTTTTTCTATGGCTTTCAAGATCTTTTTTTATTTGTTCTTCTAGTAGCAATTTTTTTTTCTTTTTTTTTTTTTTTTTTTGACAGGCAGAGTGGACAGTGAGAGAGACAGAGAGAAAGGTCTTCCTTTTGCTGTTGGTTCACCCTCCAATGGCCGCTGCGGCCGGCGCATTGCGCTGATCCGAAGCCAGGAGCCAGGTGCTTCTCCTGGTCTCCCATGCGGGTGCAGGGCCCAAGGACTTGGGCCATCCTCCACTGCACTCCTGGGCCACAGCAGAGAGCTGGCCTGGAAGGGGGGCAAACCGGGACAGAATCCGGTGCCCCGACCGGGACTAGAACCCGGTGTGCCGGCGCCGCTAGGTGGAGGATTAGCCTATTGAACCACAGCGCTGGCCGTAGCAATTATTTTAGTATCTCAGTGCTGAAACATCTACGGTATCTGTAGTGTCTAGCATGGATTTATCTTTATCTTTTTTGTTTTGTTCTCTTCTAGTTTTTTGTAGATTACTCTGTATATATAGTCCTAGAAATTTTCAAGAAGTCTACTTCTTGAATTGTTTGGAATTCAAAGATAAGCAAGAATTATGATATTGATGTTTGTTGTAATGTATAATTTTTATTTTCTCATTCCAGATTCCCAAATGCTGGAAAATCCTCTTTGTTAAGTCGGGTTTCTCATGCAAAGCCTGCTATTGCAGATTATGCGTGTGAGTATAATTGGGTTCTGTATTTAAATGTGTGGAGGTAAACTTTGAAAGACCAATTTTTCTCTAAGTGTGAATAAAATAACAACTCTGAGGGTAGTCCTGATTTCAAAACTTGACACATAGAAAGGTGCATTTCCTGTTCATCTTTGATACCTCTGTTGCCCTCAGGAAGGTTTCTGGTAGTTGTTAGACACTTGGTTGCATTTATTTCTTTGTTGCACAATCATTTGCTTTAGTTAAGATTTTATGAGCCACCTGCCTTTTATCAAGCACTGTGATAAATGTTACAAAGGCAGAGATGAATACTTTTCATTCATTTTGTAAATATTTTTCCTAGGAGCCACATTAGGTTCTGAGGTTACAAATACTGATGGAGCAGAAATAGCTACTGTTCTGGCTTTTTTGTGCTTTAGACTGGTGATGGAAGGCGTGTATATCTCTGATAAATGTAAGGCGTGTATATCTCTAATAAATGTAAGGGTATATGAATGCGTTCTGTGAACGAGTACAGGTGATTGCTTTAGAGTTCCTTGGAAAGTGCGATGTTGAGTTATGAAGAATAATAATGAAGTAGTTAGTGGATGAGAATGGAGGTGAAGGATCATTAAATCCGAGGTTATGGCATAATCACAAAGGCTTTGTGGTGGCAGATAATAGATATGAATTTAAGGGAGGAGGGAATCGAGATGAGGCTGGAGATGTAGGTAGAGACTATCACATAGATCACATAGGGGGTAATCCGTGTTTTTATCTTAAAAGCAACTGGAAACCTTGAAGAAAGGAAGAAAATGATTAGATGAGCTTTCTCAAAAAGAATCTCTGCTTGTGAGGTAGAAAATGAATTGGTGTGGGACATAAACGATCTGGAAAGACCAGTTAGTAGGGTGTTGCAGTGACTACTAAGATATAATGGAAGCTTAGATTTAAGAGTAATGAGTCAATATAAGATCTCTGCCATCACTGAACAAAAACAACATAGACTAACATTAACCTGCAAATAAAATTAACCCATTCTAAAATTAGGCTGCAATAAACCAGGGTTAACTTTGGGCTAGTTACTATAAATTACATGGCCAGTGTTTATCAAAATACACTGGACTCTTGAGAAAGAAAGGAGAGGCAAAGCAAAGCTAGAGAGAGGATTCGTGAAACTTAAGGATAACTGCATGAGAAAGGGCAGAAAAGTGTCACCCAGACATAAGGGACAGAAACCTACATTCTGAGCCTCTCCAAACGTTCTTTGTGTGCACCCTCAGTGCCGTAGAAAGACTTTGAGGACCAGTAATTAGATTAGGTTTAAGCTTATGCAGTTTTGTTTTTTCCAAGCACATTGTAATTGGCAAGGATAATTGTAGCTTCATTTCAACAAATTGGGAAAAATATTTGAATTAAACTATTCACAAAAAATACTGTTGATTTTATACGTAATGGTATGACAGTTTTCAAAGTATCAGCCTTAATTTGATTTTTTTCAAAGTATCAGCCTTAAAAATTGATTATTGTCTTCCTTTCAGTTACAACATTGAAGCCACAACTTGGAAAAATTATGTATAGTGATTACAAACAAGTAAGTGTTTTTAAAGTAGAGCACTTGATAAGAAGTAAAAGTATTTTGTGTTGATGCTTTGACTTTGTAATGTTTGCCTGTTTCTGTGGTGTTAGGAAAAAATTAGAAGGTTTTGTTTTATGGTAGGGGAAATATGGTCACATTAATTCTGCCCAGTACTATTATAGCAGAATATTATGTAAGAATTTAATTCTTCCTTTTTCTAAATATTAGGTCCAGTTTATCACTGTAACATTTTATTTTGTTTTATTTTATGTATGTATTATTATTTCCTTAATTTCTGTTTCTTCTCATTACAAGTGTATATTTTACTACCACATTGGTTTCTTGCTTTTCATATACTAGAAACACTTTCTAATGCTTATGGAAATGACTATTATAAATTTCTTCTTTTGAAAAAAAAGTTTTAATGGGATTTGGTCTCATCAAAGTATTAAATTTTGCTTTTCCTTGAAATAGATCTGTTGATGTTCTATGTAATAGAGAAAATAAAAACTGAAATAAAAAAGGAAAATAACGCATTTAAAGGTATATGAGGGGGACTTCATAAAATTCCTGGAAAAATGGAATTCTTTTTTTTTTTTGACAAGCAGAGTTAGACAGTGAGCGAGAGCGAGAGACAGAGAGAAAGGTCTTCCGTTTCCATTGGTTCACCGCCCCAAATGGCCGCTATGGCCAGTGCGCTGCGCCGATCCGAAGCCAGGAGCCAGGTGCTTCCTCCTGGTTTCCCATGCGGGTGCAGAGCCCAAGGACTTGGGCCATCCTCCACTGCCTTCCCGGGCCATAGCAGAGAGCTGGACTGGAAGAGGAGCAACCGGGACAGAACCGGCGCCCCAACCAGGACTAGAACCCCGGGTGCCGGTAACGCAGGTGGAGGATTAGCCTAGCGAGCCACAGCACCGGCCGGAAAAATGGAATTGAAAGATAGTGTGAATTGTTCATGAACTTTTTGAAGGTCCCTCTTAAAATGCACAGTTTAACAGTTGTGCCCCTTAGTATTTAACCAAATAACTTGGGAAAATTATCCCACAAAAGCCTGCACACAAATGCTTTCTAGCAGCTTTATTGATAAATACTAAAACTTGTAAACAGTCACCAGATCTTCAGTAAATGAATCATTAAACTGTGATACATCCAGACAGTGGAATATCATTCAGCTATAAAAAGAAATGGGCTCTGCAGTCATGAAAAGACAAGGAAGAACCTTGTCTGCGTACTACTGAATGAAAGACACCAATCTGAAAAGACTGCACACTTTATGGTTCCAGCAATGTGACGCATTGGAAGAAGTGAACTATGGAGACAGCAGCAAGATCAGTGGCGGTCAGAGTCAGGGAGGAAGGAGGGATGGAATAGGCAGAGCTGTCCCAGGGGATCATTATGCTGGTGAAGATACTCTGTATGGTATTATAATGACATTGTGCTTTTATCAAACCCCTTAGGATGTAAACTGAGAATGAATCCTAAAGTCAAGGACTTTGCATGATAATGATGAGTCAGTGTTAGTTTCATAATTCAAAAGGTGTAAAAGATTTATATTCATTTTAAGTAGTGATATCATAGTAATAACTTCAATAATTATAGAATATTAAATTTTAAAACTGTAATACTGTGTAACATAATATAGAGAATAATATTTAGAAGAAAAGAGGACATTTTTTAAAAATATATTTATGTTATTACCAGAGAGACAGAGAAAGATGTACCATTCACTTTTTTCACTCCCCAAATGCTTGCAACATTGGGTTATTGAACTGTTCAGTGTGGCCAAACCTAGGAGCTTGGAACTCAATCCAGGGCTTTCACGTGGTACACATCATCAGGGAGCTAGAGTCAGGAGCGGAGCCGGGACTTAAACACAGGTACTCTGACTTGGGATGCAGGTGTCCCAAGTGGCGTCCTAACAACTGTGCCAAATGCCTGTCCCAAGAACACTGTTTATATGTCATTTTTAAGGGAATCAGTAGAGGACCTCCAAGGAATATTTCAGGACATGAGATCTCTGTTGTATATATGGCTTTCTCATATGAGGATGCTTCATAGTGTTCATGGAAATGTGGACATTATGGGCATTTAGGAGTGGACAAAGGGCCCATCAGTTAAGATGCCCGGGAACGGTTTTCAGCTCTTCACCTGATTCCAGCTTCTAGCTGATTTTGAATGGGACTCTAATATCTGGTAACAAGAGATTTTGATCTTTAAAATATTTATTCTGCGGATGGCATTCTGATGCAGTAGATTATGCTGCTGTTTGCAACACAGCAGCCATATGGGAGTTTTAGTTTGTGTACTAGCTATTCTGCTTCCTATTCAGCTCCCTGCTAATTTGCCTGGGAAAGCAGTGGTTGATGGCCTCCATCCTTGGAACCCCTGCCACTTCTGTGGGAGACCCAGATGGAGTTCCTGGCTCCTGGCTTCTGCCTGGCCCAGCCCTGGCTGTTGACAGCCATTTGGAGAGTGAACCTATTAATTGAAGATCTTGTGCTCTCTCCCTTTCTGTCACTCTGTCTTTCAAATAAATAAATCTTTAAAAATATACATTAGTTTTACTATAAAGATATGTTGGCTTTTCAAAGTTATAGTAGTGATCATAAACTTGAAACAATATTTGAAATATGAAAATATGGGGATGTAATTGGACTTGTGGGTTTCATATATTTTTCTTTTTCAACCAACCTTTACTGTTTATCAGATATCTGTAGCTGATCTCCCTGGTTTGATAGAAGGAGCACATATGAACAAAGGAATGGGCCACAAATTCCTCAAGCATATAGAAAGAACTAGACATCTACTTTTTGTTGTAAGTAATGTGCATACCAATGTAATGTTCAAATGAATGAACTTAGTGTTCACAGATTACTTTTGTAGATAAGATTTGAAGAGAAAGTACAGTCATAGGCTGCATAACATTTTAGTCAGTAACCGTTGGCATTTACGGTGGTGGTCCCATAAGGTTATATGGCTTAGTGATGATGCAGCTGTCTTAGTTTGTGTAAGTACACTGTGTGATGTTTGTGCCATGGTGAAATCACATTTCTTAGAACAGTTCCTTATCTTAAGCAATTGTGATTGTAATAGCAATTGTTACTTCACTGAGTCTATTCAGATGGGAGCCAAATACAGGAACTAACTTTTGTTTATAGTATGGAGATGCAAATTGCATTGTTTCCTTATCAGGTGTCAATATGTAGCTCCTTAAGATTTCCAACATGCTATTATAGCACTCTTTTGTGCTTGTCAATGTTTGCATAGTCTTATCTAAACTAGTTTCCTCTTTTATACTGATAGTTATCTTGACACCTCAATTTCTTTTGCTTACTTTGAATTACTAAATTACCAAGAGTTTAGATTGAGAAATTATTTTTAGCTTGAGAGAATAAAGCATTTCAAAACATGTAATGCAGCTATTCTTCATATGTTATGAACTATCTCTTCCCTCTCCATTTCCAGGTCGATATTTCTGGATTTCAGCTTTCATCCCAAACTCATTACAGAACTGCCTTTGAAACCATAATACTGCTTACAAAAGTAGGGTTTTTTATTTTTTTTTTCACTGTTTTCTGTATCTGATCTGATGAATAGGCATGGGGGATTATATGAAATAGCATAATAATTAATGTTGGGGCCGGCGCTGTGGTGTAGTGGGTATAGCCGCCCCCTGCAGTTCCAACATCCCATATGATCGCTGGTTTGAGTCCCAGCTGCCCCACTTCCGATCCAGCTCTCTGCTGTGGCCTGGGAAAGCAGAAGGTGGCCCAAGCACTTGGGCCCCTGCACCCAGGTGGGAGACTGGGAAGAAGCTCCTGGCTCCTGGCTACATATCGGCATAGCTCCAGCTGTTACAGCTATCTGGGAAGTGAACCAACGGATGGAAGACCTCTCTCTCTCTCCCCCACTCTGCCTCTCTAACTCTGCCTTTCAAATAAATAAATCTTAAAAAAAAAGAATAAATGCATATTCCAACTTTTTATAGGTTTAAAGGATTATTTAAACTCCAGTTCTGTAATATTTATCTGTTCCTTAAACTATTACAATGGATAAAACTCTTGTGGGCTTCCAAATCCTTATTATATATTTTTTATATTTTCTCTTGCTTCATCTGTGACATGTTGCCTATTTCTCCTTGAAAAATTCTCCATTCTTAGCTTGCTACACCGTAATCTGATTTTGTTGCTACTTAAACTATTTTTCAGTCTACTTTTTAGGCTCTTTTCTTTAAATATTTATTTGAGAGTCAGAGAAAATGAGTTCCCTCCTATCCGCTCTTTCACTCCCCCGCTTCCCTCAATGACTGGGACTGAGCTGCTGGAGCCAGGGTCCAGGAGCTCCATCCAGGTCTCCCACATGGATGGCAGGGGCCCAAGCACTTGGCCGTCTTGCGCTGCTTTCCCAGGTGCATTAGCAGGGAGGTGGACCAGAAGTGCAGCAGTTAGGGCTCAAACTGGTGCTCATGTGGGATGTAAGCATCATAGGCAATGGCTTTATTCACTAAGCCACAATGCCAGCCACAATACATTTTTTAAAAATTTTATTTATTTGACAGAGTTATAGACAGTGAGAGAGACAGAGAGAAAGGTCTTCCCTCTATTGGTTCACTCCCCAAATGGCTGCCATGGCCGGCGCTGCGCTGATCCGAAGCCAGGAGCCAGGTGCCTCCTCCTGGTCTCCCATGCGGGTACATTGTTATTAACTGTAGTCCCTGTGCTGTGTAATAGATCTCTAGAACTTATTCATCCTAACTCACACTTGATTCCCTTGATCTGTACCCCCACCCCCACTCACCCAACCCTCTGGCAACCACCATTCTGCTTTCTCCTTCTATGAGTTCAGTCTTTTAGGTTCCACATGTAGGTTAGATCATGCCATATCTGTTTTTCTGTGCCCAGCTTATTTTACTGAGCACGGTGTCCTCCATGTTATTTAAAGTGGTAGGCTTGCTTGCCCTCCCTCCCTCCCTTTCTTTTTCTTTTTCTTTTTCCTTTTTTTTTTTTTTTTTTTGACAGGCAGAGTGGACAGTGAGAGAGAGAGACAGAGAGAAAGGTCTTCGTTTGCCATTGGTTCACCCTCCAATGGCCGCCGCGGCCGGCGCGCTGCAGCCAGCGCACCGCGCTGATCCGATGGCAGGAGCCAGGAGCCAGGTGCTTTTCCTGGTCTCCCATGGGGTGCAGGGCCCAAGCACCTGGGCCATCCTCCACTGCACTCCCTGGCCACAGCAGAGAGCTGGCCTGGAAGAGGGGCAACCTGGACAGAATACGGCGCCCCAACCGGGACTAGAACCTGGTGTGCCGGCGCCGCTAGGCGGAGGATTAGCCTAGTGAGCCGCGGCGCCGGCCTCCTCCCTTTCTTTTTCTTAAGAGAGGCAGAGAGAGAGAGGTCTTCCATCCTCTGGTTCACTCCCCAGGTTGCTGCAATGGCCAGATCTGCGCTGATCCAGAGCCAGGAGCTTCCTCCAGGTCTCCCACCCGGCTGCAGGGCCCCAAGGACTTGGGCCATCTTCTTCTGCTTTCTCAGGCCATAGCAGAGAGCTGGACTGGAAGTGGAGCAGCCGGGACTTGAACTGGCACCCATAAGGGATATCAGCACTGCAGGCAACAGCTTTACCTGCTACACCACAGT